ATTTATCCTAGAATGCATTTCATAAATAAGTATTCAATATTCAAGAATTAAATAAAGTCAGTTTTCTACATTTATCAAGGAAGTTCAGATAGTTTACTAAACCCAGAACACTAAGCTTTTGATATTGATCATATTTCAATCCACATTGCCTGAACACTAGGCATTGTACTGATAACTCAGATTAGGGAGAGAACCTATTGCCAGATATCAGGCATGGAATTTTGTTCAGTGAAAAATTTGTAGTGGCAGTAGATTTGAGTTTCTAGAATGTAAACAGAATGTCAGGTCCAAAAATCTTCTTTATTGACAAAAGAAGCAGTGGGATTGTGGAAAGGTTCAAAATTGTTAGTTTCTTCTATTGACATAGTATATGTTCCTTCCTCCAATAGTCACCTCTATTCCTCTCTGGGTTTGTTAGAACTTACTTACTTATTTTTATGAGATGGATTTCCCCTGTGTTGTCTAGGCTGGTCTTGAACTTTGAGTGATCCCCTGCCTCGCTTTCTGAGTAACTGGGACTACAGAGTGGTCCACCATGCCTGGTTTGGTTAGGACTTTTGACCTAAATATGTCCACTCTGAAAAAATTTACATCCTCACATTATTTATGGATTGAGATTCATGTAGGAAAGTGAGTTTCATTATAAAGCAATTGTAAACAGAAGTAGGGCTAGAACACAAATTTCTGATTTCTGATTGCTCCAGACTTTGTCTGCCTGAAGCTGAGGTTAGGGTGAGTGGACGACCGGGTGCCAAAAGTGGGTGAAATGAGACCGAAAACCTCTCTTTTTTTCCTCTTTTCCAAATTTTTCCTGATACTCTTTATTTCCTGACTTTCTAATAGTCACCAGACGTTGTGATGCATTACCCACCCTGCCATGGAGCTCGCCATCTCAGCAGAAAATGTTTCGTGTCCAACCCACTACCTAAGGGCCTCGCAGGTTTCCCACTCATGAGTCCAGGACTGAGCCTCCAGGCTCCCACACATACCTAGGACATATCCAAACTCTTTGTGGACACTTGGATGAACAATATTTGTGAAAACAGAAAGTAAACCAAAGGCATTCTCTCTTTTTGTGCCTTACATAGTATGCTAACCAATGCACGCAGGCAGCTCGAAATATCAATGAAGTGTTTGGAAGAATGTGGATAATGAACATGCATCAGTGTTTGAGATGTTCCATTCTGGTGATTTTTTATTTTTTTTTTTATTTTGGCATATTATGGGGTACAGATTAAGGTTTTGATAAATGCCTCTCTCCCCCTTCCCCCACAAGTCTGAATTTCTAGCATGACCATCCCCCAGATGGTGCACATCTCACTCATTATGTACATATATACCCCCCCGCCAATACCCTATTACTGTACGTACCTATGTGTCCACTTAGGTCTACTCAGTTAATACCAGTTTGCTGGAGAATATATCTGGTGCTTGTTTTCCATTCTTGGGATACTTCACTTAGTAGTATGGGTTCCAGCTCTAACCAGGAAAATATAAGATGTGCTATATCACCATTGTTTCTTAGAGCTGAATAGTACTCCATGGTGTACATATACCACATTTATTAACCATCTTGGATTGATGGGCACTTGGGCTGTTTCCACAGCCTTGCAATTATGAATTGTGCTGCTATAAACTTCGAGTGCAGGTGTCTTTTTTGTAGAGTGTCATTGGATCTTTTGGGTAGATGACCAGTGATGGGATTGCTGGATCAAATGGTAGATTCACTTGTATCGCTTTAAGGTATCTCCATATTGCTTTCCACAGAGGTGACTATTTGCAGTCTCACCAGCAGTGTAGAGTGTTCCTCTCTCTCCGCATCCACACCAGCATTTATTGTTCGGAGAATTTTTGATAAAGGCCATTCTCACTGGAGTTAAGTGATATCTCATTGTGGTTTTGATTTGCATTTCCCTGATGATTAGAGATGTTGAGCATTTTTTCATATGTTTGTTGGCCATTCTTCTGTCTTCTTTAGAAAAGTTTCTGTCAAGTCTTTGCACACTTTTAATAGGGTTATTTGATTTTTTCTTGCCGATTTGTGAGTTCTAAGTATATTCAAGTTATCAGCCCCTTATCGGATGCTAGGATCAAAAATTTTCTCTCATTCTGTAGGTCTGTTATCTTTCATGACTGTTCTTCTTGGCTGTGCAGAAGCTTTTTAGTTTGATCATGTCCCATTTATTTATTTTTGTTGCTGCTGTGATTGCCTTTGGAGACTTCCAAACTCTTTGCCTAGGCCAATGTCTAGGAGAGTGTTTCTAACATTTTCTTCTAGAATTCTAATAGTTTCATACCTTAGGTTTAAGTCTGTTATCCAGTGTGAGTTGATTTTTTGTGAGAGGTGAAAGTTATGGGTCCTGCTTTAGCCTTCTACAAGTGCCTATTTTTTTTTTCTTTTTGCATGTGTGTAAAAATTGGGAAGTTGATTTTAGAATGTACATGTGTGGCAGAGGCTTTGAGAAGATGTTTAAAACTCCATAGAGTAAGAGACAGACCACAACACTAAAGGGGAATCACTACTACATAATTAGCCTCATAACCTCAATCATTTTTGCACCTAAAAGGCATAGATGAAAGTACTACAATACTGGGGAGAAGGATGACATTTGTGCAAGAGAGATGATAAATTCTAGTAGTAGGAACAGGGAGTAAAGATCTGTCTGCAAAGGTCCTTGTCAGTTTTTGACTCCATCAGTAGTGAGTCAGCTCATTTAGGATCTGGTGGACTTATATTCCACAGTGGACGTATATACTCAATAAAACACAATTTTATTCATTATTCATTACCTGGCATATGGAATTATTTTTTGTTTTAAAAGGTAGTGAGCTCCTTTTCAATTCTGAGAAAAATTGGAAAACTTACAGAGAACTACCCAGTTTCCACCAAGTCAGCAGAGTCTTCCCCTCTTGCCCACTTCCTCACCTCACCCCTCTCCCTAGTTGGGT